AGAGACTGAGGTGGTGCAAAGGGATGCAAATGATTATGCCTCCCCCATTGCGGGGGGGAGGGGGTAAGTTTGTATATTAAGGTATATATCTTCTGAAGTAAATATTTCTGACTGTTAGTGGCTGGTGGAACTGGCATACAGGGAACCACACCCTATACTTGGAAGAACAACATTAACGGGCTGCTGGAGCCTTTTGCAGAGAGCCTAGATCAGACATGTGGAACCTGTAGCCTTGAGACAGCACATGGTTCTATAGGTCCTTAAGTGCAGCCCTTTGACTGTGAAGTTTGGATTCAAAGGGCTGCGCTTCAGGACCTAAATACACTCCAAATCCTCTTAATGGGATTAGAAAATGCTGGGGCAAGTGTGAAATCTAACCTACCTGGTCTTCCAGGAGGTAAGGATAATGATAGACAGTGGTATATGTGGTGCCTGTCCTGAGGTAAGATTGGTCCCTTCACTTTTGCAGGAACCCCTAGAGAGATTCTCTGTCTGTGACTTTTGATTTTTGAGATATCCTTGACTCAAAGATCCTAGAAAAAAACTGGTGAATTTTCTAGACTATAAATGTACAATTGCTTTTTTTCCTGAGAGTTCCCCCTCACAAATCAGTTCCATTAATGTAATTTTGCAACCTTTTCATTTTTTAAAAAAATCTGTTAAGTACTGATACTTTTTGTTTTATTGGATTCAGAAAAGACTGGTATACTGATACCTGATACTAACATATTGATACAGTTGTGTTCTCTATCAGTACTGTATAAGTTCTAATACTAAGTTTAATGTGAGAATTCTGGAATCACAAAGGTTGCTATCTTTTAGTAAAAATGTTCATATTGTTCTTTTTGCATTTAAGCAGATCTAGACAGCTTATCTTTTATGAAATCAAAATGCTGTACAACTTCTTTAGACAAGAAATGCCCCTGCCTAAAATCCACAAGTAACTGATATCCTTTGCTAGTTCTTTAGCTGAATCTATTTGTCCTCTTGCTCTGATGGATGAGTTTGTAATTCCATTTGTTTTTCCCTAGAAAACTATGCCCTTTGGGCCTTTGGGATAAGGGACCCAGAGGAAATCAGCTGGACCTCTGTAGGGATTACCTATGCTGGAGGGACATCTAAGGAATTTTACTGTTCCCTGTGTAGAAAGAGGCACTTTTTATTTTGGTGTGTCCTGTGTAAAAAGAAACACTTTTTGTGCAGACCACAGTTGGTTGGCTTCATGCACTGAGAGAATCATTGTAAGAGTTTCCAGAAAAGACAGCTTTTTTTGCTTGAGAAAGGGACAAAGCTAAGTTGACCAGGTCCCAAATCCTGAAGGAAAAGCTTGGAAAGCTCAGTGTAAAACTTTACTCCTCAAAATAATATATGATGTTTGGATTTCCAGGTGCTTGAATTTGAGCTGAAAAGAAAATACCCTGAAACTCTGCTTTACTAGCAGCTAGATCCTATGCAATGAGGGTTAGCTGTTGAAGGGTAAGGGAAGTGTATGTGCTCTGTGTGCTCTCTAGGAACATTTTCAGGAAGCCTAGGTAGAGCTCAATAGCTTTCCAGAAACCCAGATTTAAAGGACGGGAATCTCACAACATGATGAGACAGATGTTTGATTGTTAAGAGACAGAGTCAGGGAGAGAGGAGGAAGAAGTAGAGGTTGGGACCTGGACGGGACATCCAGCTTGCTCAGCTGCTGTGTGGAAGCACAACACTCTCCACAACTTTCCCAGATCTTGCTGATGCCATCATGAATGCCCTTGGTCTGCAACACCATTGTAGGAGCAATCATGGTACAAAAAAAACCTCATTACCATATAACTGCTCCACATTGTTCAGTTTGTGCTTCTTGAAGTCTATTTTCATCCTATTTCTATTAGCTTCGCAAATTAAAAAAAAAGGCAGTCTTGTAGAAATGTTGTTTAGCCTACAAAATGTGTAGACTTGCCCCTGTCTAGCCCCTCTTCACTATCTTCCCACCTGCTTTTACTGATCTCCACCCCATTCAGCATGGGACACAATCACCTGCCTAGAGCCAATAAAACCAGTGTTTCTCCACAAATACATATTCCCATGAAACCAAACAAAAATGGCTAGCATGTAGCAGCCAAGAGTATTAACTTTCTTTTAGGTCCACAGGTTGATTTTCATTTGTGCAGTTTCTGAAATCCTTTAGGTCTATCCTGATTTCTTTCAGGCCTGGGGCAAATGAACACATACTTATTTTCATGGCTGATTTAAACCTGTGAATTTCTCCCAGTTCAATTTTCTTTCCTTGCTGAAGCAATCATCATGGCAAGAATGTTAGGAGATAACAAAATTTTCAGATAAGCATACACTTTTAAAATCATCTCTTGGTTTGGCATTTATTTGACTTCCATGTATTGCCTCATCAATAACTACAAATAGCTTACTAACCTTTTTCATAGCTGAGTTCTGCAAAGATAAAGACTCTACATCTTAAAGAATGCAAGATATATATTTAATGATATACGATAAATGGCTAACATAGTGCTCATGTATTCTAGTTATAATTATGTAAAATATGTTCTAACCCAATGGAAACATGCAGTTCAAATTTGAAGAATGTGACCACTGCCCAAGATTCATTAATAGCATTAATCAGGACCTAATCTGTACAATCTCAGAACTAGAGGGGACCTCAGTGGCCTCCAATTAAAATGATGTAGAATAAGACTCTCTTTGATAATACCCAGACTGAGTGGTCATCCACCTCACTGAAGACCTTGTAGGGTAGGATCCTTTGCCTTTTGAGGCTATCCATTCCACTTTTGGACACTCTAATTAAGGAGAAGTTTCTCTTTACATTAAACCTAAATTTGAATCCCTGCAACTTCAAGTAATTGTTCCTATGCAGCATGGGTAACACAGATGACCCTGGCCTCTACCACAGGAAGGCCAGTTGGTTACTTTTCACTCCTCCCCCAAAGTTCTTCAGTGCTTTCAGTGGGTTTGGGGAAGCATCTAGACCCATCTCCCACTGATGTTGCTCCCTTAGTTGTAGGGGGGGTCCTTTGTACCCCACCTTCATTTAGCTACTGATAGTGGCATTAGCTTTTACACAGGAATATTTATTTCAAAAGATATAATCATAAAAATACAAACTTACTCCTCCAATACATGGGACTTAATCCATCCCTACCAACCTCTAAGTCCCTTTCCCCCTCCACCTTGCACCACCTCAGTCTCTGGGTAACAGAAAGGCTGTGTGTGTGTGTGTGTGTGTGTGTGTGTGTGTGTGTGTGTGTGTCTGTGTGCCATAGAGTTGGTTGTTAAACATTTACCAGCACACTTTGAAAGGAAAAGAGAGTAGAAAAAGGGTAGAGCACAGAAGATAAGAAAACTTGTTGCTCTTCCTGAGTTAGAGTTTAAAATCATAGAATCATCACAGCCTGGCTTTATTCTTTAAAGTATGGTGAATTTTCAAAAAAAAAAATAGAAAAGTAACATCAAAATCACATACATATCAGCAATCAACAAACATTTATTAAACATTTAATATGCGTCAGGCACTGTGTAAAACTTAATCTTCACTATGATTATTTTCTCCATCACCTTCTTAAGTCTAGATAATCAACACAATAATAAATCAAGCCCTGGCTCCAGCACACACACACACACACACACACACACACACACACACGACGTTTCTGCCTGTTATTTCTTTATAAAGAAGGAAGAACACAAATTCTCAAACTACTAAAGCCATGCTATCCTATCTCAGTAAGATAACTGGTTCCTATGTTCTCTGGAGAAGAAAAGTAATTAAATAATTAAATCTCTTACATTTTAAGGCTTTCTATCCCACATACTGATTAGCTGACTAAAGTAAACAAAGGTTTTATTTATGGCAATAATAGGTTTTTAAAATAATAAATATTAAATCACTGTTCTGATTCATTTATACTAAGGGATCAATTCACAGACCTTGAATGGATCATAATATGGGGTATATATTCTTACTATAAAATGGAAAGCCTGTAGTATGGGTGTCATGCTGTTTCCTGATGTCAGCATTATTTAAGCATTCTCTGGAAGCAAGATGTGTTTGTTTGTGGTGGGAGCAATATCCTAGTCTCTTCCTCCCAGGCTAGTTTTTCCTGAAAAGACACTGGAAATGTCCTTAAGATTTGATTGGCTCAGGAGACTAAAGTTACAGACTAGTGACCACTTCCTAGTCACTTGAGCACAAAAGAGCCACTAGGTGTTCTAACTCTGAGGCACACAAGCTTCTATCAGATGAATTAACTCATGGTACCCTTAATGCATATCCTTGTGGAATATCCTTCCCCTGCCATGGCTAAGCAAATGTTCTTTTATTATGAACTTCTAAAGAACTTATGTCTTATTTCATTATAATATTAGACCTAAACTACCAGGAGATTGACTCAGGCTTAACCTAAAACACTGGGGAAAGTTTCAGTAAAAATAAAATTAATTTATATAATTGAATTGACTCTAACCCATAAACAAAAAAGCTGTATTATTTGAGAACTTAATCTATCAGCACTGGCTTAATCATAGTCTAATACAAAAGACTGTTCTCAAACCCCGTAACAGAAAGTTATTTAAAGACTTAATATAATGAAATATTCTATTCCAAATTTGAAAAAATTTGTTGGATTACATAATTAACTGCTTCATTTAACTAGTGTTACAACTTAAATTGCACTTCAGAGATTATAAAAATGTCCAAATGAAAATCCAAGAACAATTTCAACAGGTAATCATAGTCCTATGAAAAGTCTATAGTTGAATAATGCTAATAATTCTATCACTAATCAGAAAAAATAATACTCAAAGCTATTGCATCTTTATTATCTTAGAAACAAATATAACATATAATATTTTATATTTACAATTTCTAAAGTAATTCTAAAATAGTTATGCTTATGAGCCTTGGGAAAAGAGCCAATTCTTAAAAAAGGTGCAACAAAAAATACAGTAGAATCAACAACAAAAATAAATAACAATGTTATTCTACCTACCTTTAATGTGATACTATAATGACCAACACTGTTCGCTTTTATCCATTTTCTTGAATGGGGATTACCTAGGAATTCTACATGATAATGTTCAACATTTCCATCCAGATCACAGGTCACATATTTCCCGATTAAAGGATCAAGACAAAGTATGCCTGGCCAACTTTCAAGGGAAAAAGAATGTATTGTTTAGAAATCATTCTTTTTCAGAATGCAAACATTATGTTAATACATTTGACAATTATATGTGAAATTTTCTCCTTTGAGTTCTAATGATTTTTTCACAAAGTTTAAAAATACCTTTGTCAATATCTTTTAAAATAAAAATATTTACTTGGTATACTTTTTAAAAATATATGATTTTATTGATTTAGATTAAATATAGTTTTCCTAAAACTGAGAATCACCACAACACCTAGCAATAAAAGTTAAATAATTTGAAGTACAATGAAACTTTATTATGACATTATTTTAAAAGGAAATTCAATATAAGGCAACACACATATTATATTCTTCCAAGAGGTAGCACAGTGGATAGAATGTTGGACTTGGAGTCAAGAAAATCCGAGTTTCATCCTGCCTCAGATACTTCCTAGCTGTGTGACTGGGCAAGTCATCTATTTTGGCTTCTGTTTCTTCATGTGTAAAATAGGGATTATAATAGCACTTATTTCACAGAATTTTTGTGAGGATCAAATTGAATAATACATTGTAAACTTTATGTAAACTTTAAAGCATGATACAAATGGCAGTTATCATCATTATCATTACCATCATCATCATCACCATCATCATTATTACCCAGAGGAAATCTAAAATCTTCAACTCTGGAAGTATTAAAACTAGGCTGTTTGGAATGGTACACATGCATTCCTTGTTAAGGCATGAAAATGAACCAGTTGAGTTATTGAGACCACCTTCATCCCTATTATTCCAGAACTATGTTTCCAAACTGGTTCTATCCCTATGTGGTTATTATTTCAAAAGTTATAGACTTCAGTAAGTTTGGGGACTTTAGTGTCTATCCAACTTCCAGTTATGCATACAGTATGTGAAATATAAAAATAATTGGTAAAAAGAAGTAGAAAGTTCATGGAAAAAGATAAAACTTATCATCTAATAAGAGTTTCAAGTTATTTCATAAGGTCTATATAATAGGCTCTTTGCAAAGTGCTCAACATATTATAATTTATTGTAGAAGTATTAATTTTCTATGTCCCAATGTGAAAAGGTTCAGTTGAAAGAAAAAGTTTAGTATGGTCAATACAAACTCTGAATTTTGTAAAATATTATAAAAGATTGGAAAAATAAAAGATAATACTACTAAACCGAGAAGCTTCTAAGAGGAATATGGATACAGAACTGTATTATCAAGGTAACTATGGATTGGTGATCATTGGATGTCCTTTCAGTAATGCCACTAAGGAATATGACTATAAAGGCAATAGAGTTAGAGCTCGACATGTTCATACTAGTACCCTTCTTTTTTCCCCACTCCTGGAAAAACAGTCTGCCTTACATGTCACAAACTAAATTCTCAAATATCTCTGGAATAGTCCAGGCCTAGAAACAAGAAATGAATAAGTAAGAAAGAAAATATCTTTCAAAGCAAAAATTCTTCAAGAAATTATAAACTTAGAGCTTCTTGTATTCTATTTCCCTTTCTAATTTTTCCATGGCTTCCTTTTTTTCTGTCATTCCTCCATTTTTTTTTCTTTTTTTTTTTTTCTGTTTTATGAATCCACAGGAAGGGGGTTTCTGCCATAAGTACTTCTGCCTGACAAAAGTGAAATGCTGTCCCCTTCTGGAACTTACCTAATGCATGATAGCTGTCTTGAAATGTCATGTAAAAAATGAATTAAGCCATTTTCTGCTTTGACTCCAAAAGGCAGAACTAGAAACAATGGGTAGAAGTTGTGGAGACAGAGTTAGACTTGATACTGGGGAAAATTCCTAAAAAATCCAGGCTATTCAAGCAGAATAGTGCAACACAGTCTGTCTCACTTTTGACTAGAATTCTTCAGGAAATGGCTATATGGACACTTGTCGAGAAAGCTTTAGAGTGGATTTTTGTCCAGGTACAAAACAGAGTGGATGCACTCCAAGGATTCTCCCAACCAAGATTCTGTGATTCTGTAGCTTTGAGAATTGGAGAAAGAGCTCCAAATATGAGTGAAGAGAAAAAACTCCAACTTGGCAAATTAGCTGTAGTTTAATTTGTTAGGTTTATTATATATTTGGAAGGTATGAAAGGCTGATACTGGTTAAAATCGTACAGTCCATAAGTATTCTAAGTATGCCTGATCATTTTGCTGTTCTTCAGTGGTTTCAGTTGTGTCCAACTCTTTGTAAATTCATTTGGGGTTTTCTGTTTGGTTTCTTTTTAGCTTTTTTTTCTTTTCTTTTCTTTTCTTTTTTTTTTTGGCTAGGCAATAGAGGTAAGTGACTTTCCCAGGGCCACACAGCTAGTAAGTGTCAAGTGTCTGAGGCCAGATTTGAACTCAGGTCCTCTTGACTCTAGTGCTGGTGCTCCATTAACTGTGCCACCTAGCTGCCCTAAAATGTGCATACCCTTTTTTTTTTTTGCAAGGCAATTGGGGTTAAGTGACTTGCCCAGGATCACACAGCTAGTAAGCATTAAGTGTTTAGTCTGAGGCCAGATTTGAATTCAGGTCCTCCTGAGTCCTGGCCCAGTGCTCTATCTACTGGGCCACCTAGCTGCTCCTCATTTGGAGTTTTCTAGGAAAAAATACTAGGGTAGTTAGCCATTTCCTTCTCCAGTTCATTTTCAGAAGAGGAATCTGGGACAAACAGGGTTAAGTGACTTGCCAGGGTCACACAGTAAGTGTCTGAGACCAGATTTGAACTCAAGAAGATGAGTCTGACTTCAGGCCCAGCATTCTATCCACAACGCTACCCAGCTGACCATGCTTGATGGTGCATAAAAATAAAAACAAATTTTAGAATAAGAAGCAAACTGGATTGTACTATATTTATTTTTAATGACATCCTTTCAAGAACTTTTATGATAATATTATCATAATGATGATTTATAGTTATATTATAATGAGGACTTATATGGTATTTTAAGATTTACAAAGTTTTAGAAATATTATCTCATTTGATCTTTATAATAACAATTATAGGAAGTAGGTATCATTATTACTATACTTTACAAATGAGAAAACTGAGGCAAATAAAAGTTAAGTGACTTGCCCAGGGTCACAAAGGTAATAAGTGTCTGAGGGCGTATTTGAATTTAGATCTCACTATTTTGCAAGTCCAGTGCACTATTCACTGTACTACTTAGCAATAAAAGTTGGAGTCTGAAGTTTAATATAACCTTTTTATGATATCTTTCTATTGATTATCTTCAACTTATTCTGCACAGATATCATGTTGGTACATTGCTGGTTTTTGTGTTTGTTCTCCCTTAGATTGTGAACTCCTTGAGAGCAGACACTGCTTTTTGCCTTTGTCTGTATCCTTCAGCTCTTAGCACAGTGCCTGGCATATAGTAGGTACTTAATAAATGCTTATTGATTAACTGATAAACATAATTATAGAAGAAAATTCAGTAAAAGGTATCTCCTGTTCTAGATAAAGGATTTACTCTCTGAAGTTAGAAAACGACATCATTAGCTAGTTTCACCTATGAGACAATCTCATAAGATGGAAATGAAGGACATTGTAGCAGTGATACTCCATACCAGTAATGTTTTATTAGATACTTTATTTTAAAATAAAGTTAAAACACTCTAGAATAAATGGTTGGTTGGTTGTCCTTTGCTCTTGAAGAACACCAAAGTGACATCACTATGTTAGAGTCAAATTACAGAGTGTCTGACTGTGGCTGATGAGACCAATATAAGCTCAGAAGGCTCTATCACAGGTCGGGCACAAACAGTTCATATGAACATTGGGGTGGATTCTATAAATTTTGCATCATACACATCTTTTGAGCTACTTCAATTCTGCTTTGCTCATAAAGCATCGCACCTTCTTTGATGAGGGCACACTGTGGTAGTTGGTCCTTTGTCAACATTTCCCATGGCAGGCAATCAACTCCAAAATTCTTCAGAGAGACCTTGAGAATCTCATATCATTCCTTCTGACCACCATGTGAGTGCTTGCTTTGTGAGAGTTGTCCACAAAATAGTCTTTTAGGCAAGTGTACATTTGGCTTTTGAACAACATGGCCATCCCATAGAAGTTGCACTCTATTTAGTAAAGTTTGAATGCTTGGCAGTTCAGTTTGAGAAAGAACCTCAGTGTCTGATACCTGCCAAGTGATCTTTAGAATCTTCCTAAGACAATTCAAATGAAAATGATTCAGTTTCCTGGCATGGCATTGGTATACTGTCCATTTTTCACAAGCATACAACAATGAGATCAGCCCAAGGGCTCTGTAGACCTTCAGTTTGGCAGTCAGTCTAACACCTCTTCTCTTCCACACTTTTCTTCATAGCCTCCCAAACACTGTGCTAGCTCTGGCAATGCCTGTGTCAACCTCATTCTCAGTGTGTGCAACCCTGGAAAGTATACTGCCAAGGTAAGTTAACTTATCCACAGTATGCAAAACTTCTCCATTTGCTGTAACCAATGGTTCCATGTACTGTTGGCTGGTGGAGCACCTGTGTTTTCTTGGTGTTAATTGTTAGGCCAAAATTAGTACAAACATCAGAAAATTGATCTATACTTTGTTGCATCTCAGCTTCAGAGGCTGCATTGAATGCACACTCATCGGCAAACAAAAAATTACGCACCACACTTCCTTCCACTTTGATCTTGCCTTGTAGCTTTTCAAGGTAAATAATTTACCACCAGCGCAGTAGTTGACCTTGATGCCGTGTTTGTCCTCAATGAAGGTGTCAGACAACACTGCTGAAAACACCATGCTAAAAAGCATGGGAGCAAGCACACGGCCTTTTTTCACTCCATGGGTGTATACAAAACAGACGTAAGCTTGCTATAAATATGGAGGAAGAAATGCTCTGGGCTGCCAGATGAGGGAAGTGTTTGAACGTAAAATGTACGCTTGCCAAAAAGCCTATTTTATGGAGAACTCACACAAGGCAAGCGCTCACACGGTGGTCAGAAGAAGCGATACAAGGACACTCTCAAGGTCTCTCTTAAGAACTCTGGAGTTAAACATGGGAGACA